TATACTATATATATATATATATATATATATATATATATATATATATATATATATATATATATATATATATATATATATATATATATACTTGTATATATATATATATATATATATACATATATATATGAGGAATCGATTCTATACACACTTCTACTTTAGCGCCATAGTATGAGAGAAATGTGTATATATTGTACAATAGAATCCATTATTGACGATTGGCTCAAAAGATGCATGTATTTGAAACTATTAATCTTTTGTTCTTTGCAATATACCGACAATCAAATTCCGCCAGGTAACACTGTCTGTTGAAAGCTTAACGTGTCAAGTGTCCCACTCCAAGACCATTCAAATCCCTTGTACTGGTCTTGACAATGGCATCCCTTTCCTGAATCCCGTTATATGCACTGTATATTCGCGTGGCTTCCATACAATAGTTTATATATATAAAAACTTTTTTATATTCGCCGTGCAGATATTCACAAAAGAGTCTTTGTTATCCGCACCCGTGTGGGATGAGGAGGCCAAAAAGTTCTTGGGTTCTATGGATCTAATGGACATCGTGCGCGTGCTGGTCGATACTTTCGGACTGGAAGAAATACAAAGACACGACGTACTCAGCCTCATGTCCAAAAAACCCTACTTTATCGACACACCAATCAAAGACATATATAGTAAGTGGCCCGGAAGGGATGGTCATGCCCATATGCAATTCTTCCAGTTTGTGAGCTTACCTACCGGCCTGTTTGGTTACTTTGGTTCATGTAGTGTTATTTCTTTGGCGAACCATATGACATCGTGGATGATGCGAGTGCGTTTCTATTGATGTGCGTGGGCTGGCATGTGTGCGTGAGAGTGTATGTCACATACACGAGCCCGTCCCTGAACAAGGTATAGTTCATACCATCAATCTGCCATATGTAGCTATTTGAAGAGCTATACATGGATCGATGCTGGGACAAATGTACAGGCGTGGATGCTGCACACCCCTTCTTGACCTTGACTACCCTTTCACGTGATTCATACGTCTTATGGGTGTCTTCCATGTTTGTATCCATTGGCGCGAAGTGTACACTGTAACTCCCCTCAAAGTGGGCGAGTGGGTCTAAATCAGTCCACCCCTTCATCTGAAATCAATCATAGAATTTGACGAGAGCAATCCGTGGAAACCTGTCAGCCCGGACACCTCACTTAACGATGCACTCAAGCTGATGACGGAGAGTGACAAGTATATCCGCCGCATCTGTGTGTTAGACCCCACAAAGGTATAGTTGCAAGGTCCACACCACGCCCTGTATGCACAGGCCTCTATCGATTTCTGTGAGTCGTTGGTTGTAGGTAGGTAAATAGGTGTGTTTATTTTGTTGGAGTGCTCTTGTTTATTTTCCGAAGTGTGTGCACATATTAGCCACGGCCAGCCCTTACATATTGGTATCAGGTACACAAACCTTGCTTACGTCATCGAAAACCTTGTTTACGCACACGCCTGACATTCCTGTACCCATTGCGTCCCATAAAATACGTTACATCTTTGGATTTGTCGTTAGCACACTGAGTAGATTGGGAGAACAATGTAGATGGGTCACCTCATTGTTGTGAGGACCAAACGAAACAAAGCATTGTCCGTACCTCTGATCAAACAACTACATGTTACTGAGTGTTCATCCTCCTTCCACGAGAATGTAGTAGAGATGAAAGTAGAAGTTTCAGTGAAGTTTTATGGGCACCAACATCCAAGCCACACGAATGGCTAAGATCACATTGTCGACTGTCTTTGGATCCTATTTTCTAACTGAACAAATTAGCGGATGCTTAAGATCACATTATTGACTGTCATTGGATACTATCTTCTAACTGAACAAATCAGCGGGTGACTTTAATAGCATGAATTGGTCCGGCGGCGTTAGCACGGCAAACATGCAGCGACTCAAGCTTACTTAGTGAGAGCTCTACTGCTCCGCAACAAATCAAAAATATAGCAGTCCACAACCTCCCATTGATAAATCGTCTAAGCACGTTAAATGCTTGCACACCTCTTATACCCAAGCGCAGACTGATAAAGAACAGCTAGTGGCCATCATATCGCAGGCGGCACTAGTACGGCACATAAGCAAGAAGGGAGCCTTCAAGGAGAATGCGACACGCACCACATGTGTGGCCGATTTTTACAACAAAGACAAGAAAATCATAGCGCTCGAGGGTGGCAAAACAACTATCGAGGCCTTTCAACTGATACGGAAAACGGTAAGTTACCTTGGTTATGATCATACCTCTGAAGTGTCTGTAGAGGGAGTCGTTGGTCACCGTAAACGTATATTGATTTAGACATTATCGAACAATAATCATAAAGCTCGAGTTGCGCCAAACACAATCAAAGCCTGGTCTGAAGACGTTGAAGTCACGGGCTGTGAGAGGTATTCTGCTTGTTCATCTGTATAGGTGTTCGTCGAATTGCATGGTTCAATACACGATTGTTGTCGCGTATATATAACGTTAGATTTACTACTGTACGCATGTGTCGTACATGTGTATTCCGCCGTGTTGGCAATCTACGTCACGAATCACGGCAACTGCCAGTTGCCCACAGTCTACAGTATACCGTTCAATACTAACGTTTTTACACTATAGTTGGCATGTCCAGACAGCTGATTCTCACTTCCATGTATATTATAGAGGTGTTGGGGCATGTTGACAGTTCACATAGACGATCGGTTTTTCTAGCACTCCATGCACGAAAGTGTACATTCGTACAAACACGTGGGTAGTATATATATATATATATATATATATATATATATATCATTAACACGTGGATATATATATATATATATATATAGGGCGTGAGCGGGGTGGCCATTACGGACGATGAAGGGCACCTGATTGGGTCGCTGAGTATTCGAGACTTAAAGGTATGGATCTGCTTATACTCTATTATACTTTCATAGTGTGTTCTTGTACTTTGGTTTGGATTCTTCAAGTCCGACGCCGAATCCGTTGCCTTTGTAGTTTTCAGGCGTTGTCATATTGCACTATGCAAAGCGTTTAGTTTTGATTGTCGCGTCTAATTGTAACATGTTGTCCCCTACAAATTGATGGTGTACCAGATTTGCGTTGGAAACTGGTGTTTTTGTCCTTTCAGTAAGATATTTACTGCTCCCGTGTGCCTAAAACGACTCCTTGTAGTCGCGGCTGCCCAGATACCGCAACAGTGTACGTGCTTATTAATACGTGTTAGCACCTATACCGGGGATACAGGTATCTGAAAAATAATTATATAGAGGTATCTGAACATGTGTATATGTATGT